GCCACGGTGGGAACACGGCGGTGTGGCCTCGTCCCCTCCCTCTGGTCCCTCGAGGAAGCTGCGCTGAGCGTGCGGCCGCCTGCCGTGGTGAATCTCTTTCTGCTGTTCCCAGTTCACGCTTCATCACCCTGAAAGTGAAGACCTGGCTTTCCTCTACGGCACCATACTGACGGATGGGAAAGACGCCTTTAGCGAGGAGCCCACCACCAACATCTGCGTGTTTGCAGACGAACAGGTACGGAAAAGGGCTCTTCTCAAGCGCGCAAGGCAGCGCCTTTTTCCCTTCTGCACAGACGAGAGATGCTTCTGCCTCTCGTTTTAGGCAGTGAGCGTTGCTTCTGCTGCAGTGATGTCTCTGGAGAGCCGAGTGTCACTTGACACGTGCAGTTTCAGCTCCTAGTGACAGAAATACTTCTGCACGTCTCAGATGGCAGCATTTTAAAAAGGTTCATACCCATGCCCCATCGCTAGGAATTTCACGGGAGTTCAGGGGGAGTGGGATCCCCGCAAACGCAGTGCATGTTCTTAATCCAGTCCTAATCCAGGGAACAGCTGCTGGGGATCAGCAGAGCGGGAGAGAGAAGAGGAGGTGTAAACTTTCATCCCTGCCTGCCGTGGAGAAGGTGTCACATAAATAGCAGGGGAAGTTTCGGCTGGGCTTCCAGCGGCCAGGGGTGCGGAGCGTTGGGACAGATCTCCTCGGAGGCTGGCCAGCGCTGTGCTTTCGGAGGCTGTAAAAACCAGGCTGGCCAGCAGCTCTCTCGGGTAGCGTAAGGAGAGCTGATCCTACCTTGACGCGTGAGAGCGGGGAAGGTGGCCTCTGCCCCTCTCGGTCCTTTTGCTATGATGCTGGGAAGCTTTCAGGCACTCCCTAAACAGCCTCAATATTAATCATATCCCTCAGCCCTACTGGTTTGCGGAAGCTGACCGCAATCCAAAAGTGCCTGCTTATTTTGCCTTCACGTTTGTGATGTATCCAGGTTCTGTACAAACCCCTGGGCTAGGCGGATTTCCCCTAAGCACAGTATAAAGGCGGCAAAGAGAACTGAGGGGAGCATTATTGTTTGCTGCTGAAACCCAAAAAGCTGGTTCATCTTCTGAATGCAGGTCGACCGAAGTCCGACGGGTTCGGGTGTGACGGCCCGCATCGCCTTGCAGTACCATAAGGGACTCATCCAGCTGGATCAGACCAGAACCTTTCGGAGCAGCACCACAGGCTCATTGTTCACTGGGAAGGCGGTGAAGGCAAGTGGCTTGTGCTGGACTTTCCCTCGGTCCTGAGGACTGCTTGGAAAAGTGCCTTGGCTCGGTGGAGAAGCAGAAAAGACTTTCTGTGCCTGGGGAAGGGTGTGTGGAAGGAGGGAGGTGCCTGAGGGTCCTGCCTTCCCACAAGCCTCACACTTCAGGATTTTTTGTTTGGGATGCAGCCAACAGTAAGACCTTGTTCTGGTGCGTGGCTTCACTGCAAGTGCTCTTTCAACCATCAGGAAAGGTCTGGGGGGAGAAATACCTCCAGTGCTGATGTAGATAAGTCAATCTGGTCCGCTCTTGGTGGCAGCTGAGGGTGGATTCCTGCTTTAGTCCCCTCTTCCCTGCTCGAAGGCTGAGCGTGGTGTTTGGAGCTGTAGAAGCTGGGTCTGTGCCTCCGGATTCCCAGGCCCAGCCCTGGCCCTGTGGCATCTGGCAGCACGTGGCTGCGAAGGTTTGGACATAGAATCAATTGTAGAATGGTTTGGGTCAGAAGGGACCTTTTACATCACCCAGTCCCACCCCCCTGCCATGGGCAGGGACCCTTTCCACCAGAGTAGGGTGCTCAAAGCCCCGTCCAGCCTGGCCTTGAACACTGACAGGGAAGGGGCAGCCACAGCTTCTCTGGGCAACCTGGGCCAGGGCCTCACCACCCTCAGAGTCAAGAATTTCTTCCTTAGATCTAATCCCAGTCTACCCTCTTTCAGTTTAAAGCCATTACCTTTTGTCCTGTCACGCCATGCCCTTGTGAAAAGCCCCTCTCCAGCTCTCTCGCAGGCCCCTTCAGGCACTGGCAGGCTTCTCTAAGGTCTCCCCAGAGCCTTCTCTTCTCTGGGCTGAACAGCCCCAACTCTCCCAGCCTTTCCTCACAGCAGAGGTGCTCCAGCCCTTGGATCATTGCTGTGGCCTCCTCTGGCCCAGCTCCAACAAATCCAGGTCTGTCCTGTGCTGAGGGCTCCAGAGCTGGACGCAGGACTCCCGGGGCCATCTTGCCAGAGTGGGGCAGAGGGACATGCCCCAGGGAGCTCTCGGTCCCTGGGTGCAAGTGGCCACCAGCTTGTCGGCCTCCTCTGAGTCTGTGGTGGTGTGAGGGCTCGTGAGCTCAGGGCAGGGGCAGCAGCCGTGCAGGTGTGGCGAGGTGGTGAAGGGGCTGCTGCACGGTTTGGGATGTGCCTGGGCAGGGCAGAGCGCTCGGTGAGGGGTGTCTCTGCCGAAGTGACGGGTAGCACTGGCATTTGGTGGGGTTGGGAGAGCAGAGAACCTCATGTCGCCTCTGTCCTGATCCCAATCCCTCTGCAGGAAGCCAAGTTTGGGGACTACAATGCTGTCATCGTGGAAGTCTCAGGAGAAGCCTTCTACACCGGTACAGCCACCTTCACTGTCGAAGAGGAGGACCCGCTGAAATATGGCTTCTTGTTCAAGTGATCCGAGCCCCTGGGCCACGGCAAAGTCTCACTGATGGTGCCGCGCTTCCCCTGCCCATGCATTCCTCTTCTGCTGCTCCACACGGCTCACTGCGATACGCCAGAGCAACAGGACCAGCCTTTCGTTGTGCGCCGTGTTTCAGAATGATGGGCTGTGTTCCCCTGTTGTGATTAGCATATTGGGTGCGTTGTGATTAGCATATATAGGCTGCTCTGAGAAGCCATAATATTTTTCCTCTTTTTTTTTAAATAATTTTTCACAGAAAATGGAGCTGATCTTGGAGATCAGTCTTCAAATTTACGTGCCTTCTCTACATCCGCAAACTACTAATTTTAAAGCCAGATTCCTATTAAATGCCAGCTGCAAACACTGCCTTTCTCCTCTTGTTTTGACTGCCGGAGCTCATTTCCAGGCTCTGCCGAGTGTGTCGCGGCTGTTGGCTTTGGCTTGCCTGCTCTTCCTCGATGGTTAACATTCAACAGGAGCAGCTGTGTTCGGAGGTCTGAGCCATTATGACCTTTGATTGCAAAATTATTTACCAGCGATTTTGCCTCAGCCCGGAGGCAGCTTGCGCAGCAGAGTGCTGTCCACGTGTGTCCGTCGAGGGCGGGGGGGGTGTTGCTGGTGGAAAAACCAAACCGAGCCCCGGGCTGTAGGCAGACATTTGCAGCGGTGGAAGCAGAGCTTCAGACCCCTTGGGGCCTGTAGTTTTCACTCTGTCTCTGGATGAAGCGGTGTTCATTTATCAAAGACACTGGTGGGAGCGCGCCTTGTTAAAACGAGACATGAAAGGGGGGATGGATCCTCTCCTGATAGCTCCTGGAGCAGAAGGGAGCAAGTCACAACGGAGAGCTTGGAAGAGGCTGGTGTGGAAAAGCCTGAAAAGAATTTGTTCTGTCAAATTGAGAATTATAA